GACATTTTGAACGGTCTTACAACTTTGAAGAATGAAAAGTGTTCCAATGCTATCTTACTGCACGTAGACATGGTTAATAATTGATGGCTGTGCACCCACCCAGCCTCTGCATTGCGATGTCAATTCTTCATACGCAGTAAAATAATTTTCGATTCAGTGTGAACTTTAAAAGAATTGGCAGTGGAACACAATAGAACAAACAGTTGCCGCATTATCCAAAGAAAAGTTGCAAGGTGCTTTTACAAAGAGGTTCTGTGTATTACGAAGTGTCTTTTTTTTTAGTATGAATTGAACCTACTGAATGGCCCAACTACAAATAATTTGCCAAATCTTTCCATTCTGAAAGTGTGCAATGATCCAATGAAGAACTTGGCTGTACTGTAGCATATTTGAAGCAGGACTTGCTTGTTCCAGATTTTGAAGTTGGAACCTGAGTCCCATTGACAAGCTACTTGGCTTGGGTCACACACATCACTAAAGTAAGATAATAATATATATAATATTTGGCTTAGTTTCATATAACCAAGTTTGTTCAACAAACATGGTAAAAATGCTGGCTTCAAAGTGATTAGACTACTGAGATTTACATGGTTTACAGAAACCTACTGACCTGTTGGATTCACAAACCCTTGTAGGGTGGCATTTATCTTTCCCAGCATCTATTTTACACATGGAGTCTATCTAGCATAAGTTATATATAAGTCTAAGTGCTATTGCTATTTCTATACAAGGTTGAAACACACACACAGAGTATTCCTTACATTACCAGACAAATTTCTGCTGAGGTTGGTACAGTTTAAACAGGCTATAAATTTATGCAGCAAAGATTTTCAGGTAATTTTGCAGAAATTGGTCCTGAGCCATGATTCCCAAGGAAGCTGGCAACAAGAAATGTAATTTCTGTAATTATTTCACAAGCTTGGCATGGATCTTGATTCGAAATAACTGCAAACTAGCCATAAGAATCAGCTGCGTATCATTTATTTACCTATTGTTTCAATCTGCTTCTTAAACTGCCTGTATCTGGGATGCTAGCGCATAACCACAGACTTGCGGTCATAGTGACCGCAACAGTTTTCTAAAATGTTTGTAACACCCCTATTTTAAGAAATGGACCATTCCAGTTGCAAATACCTTTTGTTTTCCCGCCAATAAGAGTGTATGCAGCATCGCGCTTGCATTAGTTATTTGGTGTTTTCTGTAGCAGCGTTTGAATTTGATTTTCAGTCATTTTGACTGCAGATCTTTGCTAACGTATATTTTTTAAATAATGTGGGGCCAAGTTTTTCACCAAAAAGAGTGTGATTTGGTGATCAAGACTTTGAAGACACTGTTCTAAAATGGTATGAAAAAGCAGAGAGTGATCTGAGCGAAGTAGAATCTGATTGCAACAAAAAATTTGTAAGGGATGATGAGGAACCTGCTGCCACCACCAATTCTGACATCAGTGATGATGAAGCTCCCGATAAAATTGATGATCAGGTATAATCTACATCGTGCAATAATTTATATGGCAAGAACAAATTCAATTTCAAATTCAATGGTCTTCGGCACTTTTTAGAAGCGATAGATCCACAACCACTAGTCACAATATTGTACTGCAATTACCTGATATACAGCCAGCAGCTAGAAATCTTGGAAATTCACCTACTCCCCTCAAGATTTGGAAATTATTATTTTCTGAAGAAATTATTAGTGCCATCATTCAGTGGACCAATGTAAAAATTAGAGCAGAAAGATTGAAGTTCAAGGATGGAGAAACAAAAAGTGACCTGCGCGATATAGATTTGATAAGAGATCAATACATTTTTTTGGTTTGCTGCTCTATACATCAATTTTTAGATCCAACCATGAAAACATCTTCTTGCTACTGATGGAACTGGTCGAGAAATTTTTAGATGTGTAATGATCGAAACAGATTTGCTGTTCTTCGATGCATTTGATTCAGTTGACCGAAAGGAACGATGCGCATTGGATCCCACCGCTTGATTGCAGAAATGTTTGCACAATTTGTAAAAAATTGTCAGGAGGCTTATACAATTGGAACATCAGCCACCATTGATGAGTGTTAATCGTATTTCCTGAGAGATGCAAATTCAAAATGTACCTTCCACTAAAACCTGACAAATATGGGCTAAAGCTCTTATGCCTTATAGATTCTCGCAATAGCTATTTTTTCAAGGGTTATTTATATGTAGGCAAGAATTCAGATGGACAATCTTTATCAGAGGAGGACCCCAAATTTTCCAAACCTATTCAATCTGTATTGAGGTTAGCTGAACCTCTATTTCGTACAAATAGAAATATAACCACTGATAACTGATTTAGTTCGATTGAGGTAGTTCACGAATTAAGAGGCAGAGGCTTGACTTATGTAGGGACTCTGAAGAAAAATAAAGCTGAAATTCCTCCTTCATTTCTTCCACATCG